CAAGCCTTTAGCCCTGATGCCTTTGCTCTCAGTGTCTACAGGGGCAGGGAAAGTGACCGTGGGGCAGACAAGGCCCACAGGCTGTTAGCCATGATGCCTTTGCTCTCCGTTGTCTACAGGGGTAGAGAAAGTGACCAATGGGTGGACAGGGTCCGGAGGCCTCTAGCCCTGATGCCTTTGCTCTCAGTGTCTACAGGGGCAGGGAAAGTGACCGCCAGGCAGACAAGGCCCACAGGCCTTTATCCCTGATGCCTTTGCTCTAAGTGTCTACAGGGGCAGGGAAAGTGACCACTGCGCGGACGGGGTCTGGAGGCCTTTAGCCCTGACGCCTTTGCTCTCAGTGTCTACAGGGGCAGAGAAAGTGACCGATGGGTGGACAAGGCCCGTAGGCCTCTAACCCCGAGAACAGGACGGAGCAGAATTTTACCTTGTCATGGCATGAGTGCCCAGCACCTTGCACACAGTAGGAGACTAATACATGCTTGTTGAATTAAACTGAACAAATTCTATGAGCTCAATTCAATTTTAGTCAAGTCAAACCATGCCTGATGGACAGTGACCTGGAGCCTATGCCCAACTCTGCCTTGTCTTAGAGGTAGGGAGGCCTCAATTCTAATGATGATGATGATGATAAGTGGCATGTCTAGAGACTGTAACGTCATTTGACAAGTACCTTGTGAAGTAGGTGCTCTTATCACCCACCTTACAGATGGGGAAACTGAGGCCCGGAGGTTAAGCGATGTGCCCAGGGCCGTGTAGTTCCTAAGAGTGAAGGGAGACTTCAGACCCAGGGTTCTCCCCATCTGTGCCCCGTAGCTGCCTGCAATCCTGACCCTTGCTCTGGTTCCACCGGCACATCACCTCCTCGATCTCTGCCTCAGTTTATTCCTCAGTAAAATGGCAGATTCTCAGCCTGCAGTCCATAGACAGATTTCAGGAGTTTCACCATCTTTATTTTCATTAACCTCTAACTGAGTCTTATCATTTCCTTCCGTTGCAAATGCAGGCACCAAAGCATGCCTCTGAAGGGGGCCCATCCAGCTCTTCGGCTCTAGTCTGACCGTGGCACGCCATCTGGGCACCCTCCCTTTCCCCCCAAGCTTCCTCCCATTCTCCACCAGAGTGCTGAGATGCCCAGGCCAGCCTCCTGAGAGAAACGAGTAACAGAGGGGGCCACACCACGAGGTCACTGCAGGCTGACCCTCCCCCCTTCCCACCCTGAGTCACAGGCAGGCCTCCGGCTGGCTCGGTTTCCTAACCGGCTGCCCTGGTCTCTGCCCGCCTGGATGCCTGCTTGGCTTAATGACCTGAGAGGTCCCTTGTAGGGCTCACTCTCACGAGCCACATGCCCTGGACTGCCAGGACGGAGGAAGGGCTTTCACAGCCACGTGCCACTGTCTCCGAGCTCAGCAGGCCAGAAGGCTTCCTGCTTAGCTTTTAAGTGAGGAGCAAACAGACCAACTATCTTCTATTAAGAGGAGGCCATCTCGATGACCTCCCCCTCCCTCCACCCCCTTTGAGGAAGTTTTCCTTGGCTCTGCCAGGGAGGGATCTCCCAGGCCTTGGCCCTGTCTCTCAGCCTGATGCCTCATACCCATTAGCCTGTCCAGTCACACACAGCCCCCATCCTTGGGCTCAACAGCCACAGAACAGTCAAGTAAGGGCTGGACTGAAGTGAAATAAAGCAAAGACATTCTGCTGAGCAAGGTCTATCCTGTAGTTTAAGGCTGCGGGAGGGCCAAGTTTAGCCAAGAAAAGTAAGCCCAGGTCACCCTCTCACAACCCTCCTTCCCCCAAGCTGGGCCCTGGCAGGCTCCCTGGAGAAGGCACCCAGATTACTAACCCAAAGCTGGCCCCCAGTACTAACTGCTGTAACTAAGTTTGGCTGAAAGAAAGCCTCCCTCTCCTCTCCCCACCTGTCAAGGCAGCACGCGCCATTTGCAAAGATGGCGAGCCCCCAACCCTCTTTGGACATCTGTACCCTGAAACCACAACAGCTCAAGAGATCACCTAGAAGCCATCCTTTATTGAGTGACAGAGTGCTTTACAATAGGGTAAACCTCACAACAGAATGCACAGCAAGAAATACAATCAATGAACCACACAACTCAAAACGCGGGAATGAAGTAACATCAGTCCAATGTCCTAGATGCTGAGGAGGGGCCACTCCACGCACTCAGGGGTTGGATGCACAAGAGACGCGGGGATGCTGCCCTCCGTGGGGGATGCATTGTGGGCAAGATGCCCAAGCCAGAGTCCAACTCCCACTGAGAGGCTGGGTCCTTTGTCCGGCCCTACCAAGGTGGGCAGAATCCTCTCCCCAAGGCAGTGGGAATATCAGAACCCAACTTCCCACAGGCCTGAAGCACAGAGAAGGCCCCTGGGTTCCCCCATCCCAGAAGAAGCAGATCCGATGGGAGGAGCCACCCAAGAACTCGAGAGAGGATGCAAAGAGCCAACAGTTCCAGAGTCCTGACAGTAATTCTCACGTCCACGTTGTTGGCACCAAGTTGAAGAGAACATTGCCTCATGTTAACAGAGAGGTCCGAGGCGAACAGGCTGCCCTGATGCTTCCGCGCTAGTCACTGCCACACAAAGGAGAGGTAACTGGCGCAGTGGTCAGACGGGAAAAGAAGGCACAGATGACACCCCTGCCTGCCACCGAGGGAGGAATGAAGTCCTGACATCTCCTTGGGTAAGTATGCCACTCCCTGGAGTGCCACGAGGGGCGGCCAGGCCCCGCCTCGTCCCACCCTCGGTCTAAGGGGCACTGAAATGCTCCTTCCCTACTCCCTGAGTGACCATGAGGGAGCCCCGGGAGAGACCCTGAGCACTGTGTGGGCAGCAGTCCTCCTCAGAACACTGGAAACGGAAGGGTCAGAAGCCGTGGCAGGGACTGCCACGGGCCAAGAAAACCCTCCCTGGGAAGGAGACACCACACTGACACTGGATGTCAAAGTCCTTTCACACCAAGATCACGGGGGCAGGCTGCGCGCCGTGACCCCACCGAGGGGTGTGCTCAACACCCCTGCCGCTGTGGCTTGGGGCCTGGGTACAGGCAAGGAGAGTGGGTCCTGCTCCCTTCCAGGAAGGGTTTCCTCCTGGCTCTAGAGGAGGGAGAACTGATTCTGAGCTAGCTCTCTCTCAGCCGCGGCCACACCCTTGTCCCTCGAATGGGGCCTCCCGTGGACAGGAGCGCCTCAGCCTCGGGGCTCCGCCAAGCTCTGACCTGCCAGGAGAGCCCAGTTCCCTGCTCCTGTCCCTCCTCAGCGAGGAGAGGGCGGGCATGGGCTCCCACACTCCCCGATTAGGACGGCAGCAGCTCTCTCTCCTGGCTGTGCACCTGACCCACCAGCTGGGCGCCAGGCTCTCCGCGTCACCCTCACACACCCACTTCTACCAAGACCTCCACACACTGCCATGGCCATGGGGGCTTCAAGTATTCAGTTTGCATAAGGAATCAACCTGAGATTTTCCTAAACTGCACTTCTCGGGTATTATTCAGTATGTTAATCTTTATTCAGTACAGAAAAAGTCAACACCTGGACAATTATTGGAAAAAATTGTATTTTGGAAGAACTCGCTACATAAGGTGACAGAATTCCAAAAATCAAGTTACATGAAAATATACATCGCAATTTCTTTGTACATTAGGTGTAGAGAAATGGGGAGGGTGTGGGGGGACACAGCGTCTTCAATCACAAACCCAGAAGTTATCGGTGGGAAAGGCTTCCAGCTGGCCACGCTTTTGTGAGTCCAGCATCAACAAAGGACCCCAAAAGCCCTGGGGTTAATTCCAAGCCACTGACTTTGGCCCAAGAGAGTGGGCGCGAGAGCTTGACGGCCAGAAAGATTATTGCTACACCCAATCGAAGACGTGCGTGATTGGATGACAGGAGGAGAGCACCGCGGGCTGGCCGTCCCTGGCAGGTCCTCATTCAAGTCAGGAAGCTGAACTACACAACGGGAAAAGGCTCTGGCAGAAGGGACGAGAGCCCGGGGAAGTGTTTCCAAACAAAGAAAATACAAAAGTCTAGTAAATGAAAGCGTTTAATGAAGCCTCAATGGTTTAAAGGAAAAGTAGATGGACAAGTTTAATCCTAATTGGTTTTAATCTGACATGCTTTAAGAAGTCTCTTTAAACTGATAATGAAACAGTGAACAGAGAGAAAACCTGCTAAAATCTTTCGAATGTACACGATTCTTAGTCTAACTACGAGAGCATCATTTGGTACACCGTGGATGGGGGTGGACACGGGCAGGACAGATATTCTCCGGGTCACGTTGTGCTATGTACATGTCTTTACAATTCTTCCTGAAGGTTAAAGCAGTTCATTAGAATTCAGAATGCGTCATCATCTCTAAGTTGGCACTTGGCAGGCTCCTGTCAGCGCTGGTAACTGGTGTGTTTGACTGCAGCCCAGCCCAGCCAGCGTCTGCCAACTCGCTACATCAGTCCAGCTAGGTGGGGAGAGTGCCATGTTTCCCAAGTGGAGACCTGTGACAAACACAAACAACAACATCAGGCCCAGCGACACATTCACCCCCGGCTCAAGGAAACGGGAATCCCTGCTTGGCACAGGGACACAGCACCGCTTGGGAAACTAACTCTCAGAGTAGAAAATGCCATCTTTCCTCTCACGTTTGGTGGAGAGGGCAAGGACAGCCGAAAGGAGGGAGCGCCAGGATCTCGCCTGACCATCACCACCCCCCGGGAGGGAGGCGCTGTTAGCGCTCCCATTTTAAAGAGGAACAGTGACCTGCCCAGGGTCATGGGGCAAGGCTGGATTTGAACTCAGGGCTTCCAGACTCTAGGCCCCGTGCTCTGTGCACGGTGGTACCCCAGCCCCACCTCCCACTGGCACCCAGGGCTGGAGATGATGACTGAACCTCGGGATTTGTCAATGAGAACTTGAGAGCCAGTCTGCTGGGCTTCCTAAAGTGCTCAGAAAGATGGGAGGTCTCAGCACCCAAGGCACCGGGAAGGGGCCGTCGCACAGTCAGATGACGTTCCATCTCCTTTTCTGACTGGCAGGATGACGGGGAATGCTGAAGACACCATCAGTCTCTTGGGCAGAAGATGAGAACCACGAAGGGTGTGGATCTGGAAACGGCTGGAGCCTAAAGCGTCACTGCGGCTCACGGCTTCGGGACTGGCGTTGCTGAAGCCCACGAACTCCGTGTCTTCAGCACGGAGGAGGCGCACACAGCAGGTACACCAAGAAGGACAGCTTCAGATGGAATTTGATAAGGGTAAATGTCAAGGTCATACCAAGGTGGTTTGCAAATCTGCTTCCAAAAGACAAAATGGAAAAGTTTTGGCTGCAAAGCATTCCATCCGAAGAGGATCTGAGGGCTTCAGGGGACCGCAAGCTTCCTGAGGCCAATAGAATGAGATCCTGGCCACAGTTCGAGGCTCCAGGGCCAAGGCAAGAGAGGAACCTCTCACAGAAGCGGAGAGTGGGAAGGGTCCTCAGCAGCCAGCCAGGTCCCAGGCAGATCAGGCGGGCGCCTCCTGGGGAAGGAAGGTGGCCAGGGGAGTGGAGGCCTAGTTACACGTGAGAGCCAACTCCCCAAGTTTTTGAAGGCCTATCACCTTCTCTGCTCGGCTCCAGAATGAGGAGCTAACGTGCGCTGCGGCAGATTCGGCCGTTCCGGACAGCTTGGAAAGAGACGGGAGAGGGAGCGGCGAGTTCGGGGAATCCCCAAAGAAAAGAGAGAGGCGAGTGGAGGCTGTGCCATTCCAGGCAAAGATGTTTCTCTTATTCTGGAGCCATGGGGCTCCAGGGCAGGCTGCTCCAGCGAGGAAGTGACTTAGGAAGGTCTGGGCAGCTCCAGGGTGGAGTGCGAGGCTCTGAACATAACCCGGGGACCAGTGAGAAGGGCGAAGGTGGGAAGGGAGAGTGACAAAGACTCCAGGACGGCACCCCGCCATGGACCAGGAGAGGTCAGCCCAACGTGGCAGAGGCCATCCAGAAGAGGAAAGAACTGCAGAACGGTGGGATGGAAAAGGATCTTGAGTTCAAGTCTCTGAACATTAGGAACTACAGATTTCAAGCCTCAAAAGAGAATTTAAGGTGGGGAGGGGGTTCCTAGTTGTTGCCAAATATCCAAAGGGTCATCCTAAGGTCAGGGGATTCAACTTGTTGTGACTGGCTGCAGAGGACTGGTGAGGGATCATGGGGGCCGTTCCCAACACCGCCTTGAGCTTTCATCCTGGAAGTGGACGAGACAGAGCTGGGCTGGACAGCCGGGGGTGGGGGGAGGGGAGCTCCGTGTTTGGCTCAGACATGCTGGGGTACAGATGAACAACACTTTCTTTAACTGTTTTTGTATTCTGAAAAGGAGTAACACACCTCCCATCAATTTACCAACTGTGAACTAATTTGGAGTTTTGGAGCCAAAAGGCCCTGAGTCTCTCGGCTTCCTCTGATCCCGAATGTTCCCCAAATGTTTTCTTTGCGGGTCCACACGATAAGAAATCACATCCATGCTGGAAACTAGCCACGGCCTCCAATTCGAGGACATCATTTGTCCAATAATGACTAGGGAACACCAGAGATAGCCACGGGGGTGAATAACAACGGCGGCCCAAAGGCCGCACGTGCCCAGCAGAGTAAGACAGCTGAGACAGGCAGGGACTCCCTGGGAGAGAAGGCTGCAGTCACAGAGACAGAGCAGCCCGCACAAACAACGTCCACTGGGAGCCACGGAAGGCTGGGAGCAACACACAATCACCCGAGGCCTACGGTTCTGTGTCTGCTCCAAGGGGAAACACCGTCTGAATGTGAAGTTAAAAAAAAGGAGCCAAAGAATGGGAAAGTGAGGGGAAGCCCACTGACTGGGAACGGCTGACCAGAAATTGCAAGCAGGACAATTTCAGAAAAACCTGGAAGGCCTTTCATGAACAGATGCAAAGCGAAGGAGCAGAACCAGGAGAATGCTGCACAAAGGAAGAGCCCCGCTGTCTGAGAAACAGCAGTCCAAGACAGGCCCAGAAGCTTCAGGATGAGGCAGAGCCTTCTCCGCCACCACAGGGAGAACTGAGGCGGTCAGGACACAGACTGAAGGGGCTGGCTTTCACTCTTCTTTTCTTGTTGGTTTGAGTCTTGTACAAAATGACTAACATGGAAATGTCGTACAAGACTGAACACATATGACCTGTGTCGGACTGCTTACCGTCTCAGGGAGAGGGGAGGGCAGGTAGGCTAGAATCTGGAACTCAAAACTTCAAAGTGTTTTAACTTGTTATTGGGGAAAAAATAAAACATTATTAAAAAAAAAAAAAAACTCAAGAAGGGCAGGCATGGATGAGCTGCTATGTACATCCCTGGAGGGACTGTCCATCTCGTGATTATAAATAATTAAGTATCTGTGTATGGCACCAGGAGTCACTGCAGAAGTTAAAAGAAAGGCTTTGGTGCCATGACTCAGCCAGGAGCTCCAAGGATATCCAGGACAGAATTAAGAAGGAAAAAAAACAGAGATGGATGCCACCCCAGCATAGCCCAGGCAAACACCACCACGTGCTGCAGTGGAGCCCCAGGGAGACGCGGAGACGCAGAAACGCCTCCCCGGCCTCAGCACCCACCAGACACCGGCACTCGGACCCCGGTTCAGCATCAGGTAAACTGCCAGACTCCCTATGTCCTCCAGGAGCGCCAGCCACCCTGCCCCTCACCTTACCCCTTCAGTGCAGCACCAGGTGAACAGCCAGGGCCTGCAGGCCCTGGCACAAGAAGCCTGAGACAGTGCCCCTTCCACCCTGGGAGCAGAGCTCAAATTTAAAAGAAAGGAAAAAGGCCAAAAAAGATGAGCAAAAGAACAACAAAAAAAAGATTCGGACCACAGAAAGTTATTATGGTGACAGGGAAGAGCAAAACAGACTCAGAAGACAACAATGTCAAAACACCTACAGGCAAAGCCCCAAAGAAAAATGGCAAGTGGTCTCAAGCCCAGAAAGAACTCACAGATCAGCTCAAAAAGTAGCTTAAAAATCAGGAGGTAGAAGAAAATTGGGAAAAGAAATAAGCGATGCAAGAGAATTATGGTAAGAATCAACAGCCTGGAAAAAGAAAACAAATGCTTAAACAGTACAACTGGCCGAACGGAAAAGCAAGAACAAAAGCTGAGGAAAACAACTCCTTAAAAGTTAGAATTGGGAAAGCGGAAGCTGATGACTCTATGAGACATCAAACAAATTCAAAAGGATGAAAGAATAGAAGAAAACATAAAATACCTCATTTGAAAAACAACTGACCTGGAAAAACAGATCCAGGAGAGACAACATCAGAATCACTGGACTACCTGAAAGCCACGACCAAAGGGAAGACCTGGACAGCATCTTTCAAGAAATGATCAAGGAAAACTCATCCTGGAACCAGAGAGCAAAACAGGCACTGAGAGAATCCACCGATCACCTCCAGAACGAGGCCTCAAAACAAAAAACCCAAGGAACGTCATAGGGAAATTTCACAACTATCGGTTCAAGGAAAAAATACTGCGAGAAAGAAGAAAAAACCACAGAGGACTAGAAAGGGGGAAAACCTTCAACGTGGTTTCCATTAATTAGCCAGCAAGCATAAACCTGATTGCCTTTGCTATCTCACAGGAAATCACTTCTGCTTTTGTTTTGACACAGTAAATAATGGACCAGTGGGTTGAGAGCCAAAACCTGGACAAGCCTAAGCAAGGAGGCTTCAGTCCTTCCAGGCGTAATGAAAAAAACAAAACACCTGAGCCAATGTGCAAAAATGGAGAGTTCACTTCCCAAGGATGTCACACAATCTGTGACAAATAAGACAAAATCCACGTTTTAAAACAGGGGTGAACAAAATGGATCTGACACATGGGGGTGCTAGAGTGAGACCTGGAGCCCCTCTTGCCACAGAGGGGCTCGACAACTCTAATGAACCCTAATTCCTAACCGGCCTTTCCACCACAACCAGGCCTCACTCCTGTGCCCGAGATCCCTCCACAGCCTCTTTGGGGCATCGAGAGGAGCACATACAGAAGCCCTGGCAAAGCTGGCTTCCTCAGAGTCACCCTGGTGGAACCTACTTTCATCACAGAAGTAAACCTTGGGAAAAGGGTTCAGAAAACCAAGGGGTTGATGCACCACTGGCCGAGAGGAGAGGCTCTGAGAGAGGGATCTGGCTGTCCAGACCAGAGTCTGAAGGCTTCTGGCAAGGGACGGACGGAGCAGACCTAGCAGGCCTGTCAAGAATGTATCTGCTTGGAGTTCTACCAAAATGACTCTGCTCTAAAAACAAAAATGAGAAGGAGAAAGCTGCCCCGGCATTATCACCATGTGGACAGAAGCCAGCAGCTAAGTTCCCTGTTCAAAACCCACAAAGGGGGACAGTGTGTGTGTGTGACTTTGTAAAGTACTCTGAACCTCCTCATCATCACCATCACAAATGCACAAAGTGGGGCTAACAAGCACAACGCACTAGCGATTCTGATGCGAGACAAAAAGGTCCAACACAGTGGAATGCG